TACACAGGAACGTCAACCGTGACGTCACCTGATATGCCAGCTTCACAGCTGGCCGTAGCAGTAGTCAAAACATGGAGAGAATCAATGTGTGTGTGAGTGTTGATCATGTGGTGTGTAGCTAAAAACATACAGGACATTCAGGGACATGTCCGAACAGTAAGCCTCGGAAGATATTATGATTAAGATTACGGCTGAACATATCATGCTAATAACAATATTCATCCTGCCTGCAGACTCTTCAATCTAGTTGACCTTGGCCTAGATGCAGCCTGCAGAACTCATGACAATGAACTGAGCATTTAACAGCCTGAGCTAGACATCCTGGCTACACTTAAACATTCCTATACAACAAGTATTTAATCAATATCTACCTGAGTAAGAAATTACCTAACACACCTTTTCACATCCCACTGATGAGCATCAATGCAAGCACAATAGCTTTTCAGTGACTGCCCGCTCTAACCTGTAGAAATAAGTAAGAACAGATGATGTGCTGAACTGTAATCAGTTTAAAGGATCTTCAGATGAAAGTCTTGTTTGTTGCCCCCTCTCTATTCTACTATTTTTTTAGGTTTAAAACCTTGCATTTCCCTTGCTGTCTGTTGACATACACTCCTTAGACATACATTAACCACCTGCACTACATCTGCCTCTGTCTTCATTCCCAGCAGTGACACCAGAGAACGGATGGCTTCCAGTAACACACATCGTTAAAACAAGCTGCTCTACTCCCCCTTTATACAAAATACAATATAAGACTTTAACACACATGGCTGCTTTTGTATCTCAGCCTCAGGATAAAGACAGTGATAACCGTGCGCACACAATCTTATCTGCTTACTGATGCAGATAGTTGCTCACCTGAATTTTGTGTGTGTTCGCAAAATACTTTCTTCACTTGTTTCCTCAGTTTTTGCTTCCACCTAGTTTGTCATATCCCACGGTGTCTCCCCCTCCTCTCTTCATCTTTCGGAGGACAAACGGACTAAACCTAACACACATTAGCTGAGGTTACAATTCAAACCTGCCTCCACATTTCCTCAGAGAGGGGATGGAGCGCTGTGAGGGAGGAGGAGGCAGAGAAGGAGAGATGGGTATGAATTTTTCATCAATGTGCCATCAGAGGTTGAAATAAAAATACTTTACACAGAGCTGTAGATTTATCAGAGGAAAAACAAAAGGAAGAAGAATGTCCTGCTTCTAAAACTCTTAATAAATTTTAAAGTGATGATTCAGCTGTACTACAGTAACACTACTGCCAGTGTTTATGGAGATTATGTATAAATAAAATAAAGCCTCCTGGACATCTGAGTTAATGTCTATATGTTTAAGTGAATAAAAGCAGGATCGTTTTAGAGTTTGTACAATTTGCTGCTTTGGGAAGCCTGACGAAGTGTGACTTGTGCATCTTGCTGTGAGTGTTTCATGCTGTGTGGAGTCTTCCAGGGGCTTTTTCACAGCTGAGTGGGGGAGTGGCAGTGATGGAATTGTGGAGAAGCTTTGCATAATTACCTCAGGTTTCAGCCCACCTTCTTTACTTCCTGTGCACAATCTACTTTGTATTGTGTGGCATTCATGTGCACGGCAAAGTAAGAATTTCATTGTACAGGGAAACACGTTTCTTAACTGTGCATATGACAATAAACACTTTGACCTTTGACCTAACCACCATATGTTACGAACATATGTTATCACTGGTTAATTTTTCTCCCTTCATCTGTTGCCCCATTAGGTGTTGGAGGTGGTGCGATCCAACTATGACACACTGACCCTCAAACTGCAGGATGGTCTGGACCAGTTTGAGAGGTACTCTGAGCAGCCCAAGGAGGCTGCGTTCTTCAAGGAGCTGGTAAGACGAACAACAGTGCTTTATGGGTGCTGAGGGTGTTGTGTGGTCTACTAAGACTCTGGTCCTTTCCCAAACTGATCAAACCCACTCTGTGACATTAGAATTGGTCACCTCCGCTCCGCCCAGCCCTCCCTCTCCCTGCCCGCTTCACTCTACTCCGCGCTCCACATGGCACACCGTGAATGCCAAACCATTCACACTGTATCACAGTTTGGAGAGAAATTCATCAAGTTAGTGGGCAGTATTCAGCTGGTGGGCATTAAAATAATGGAACTCACGCCGCTGACTGCTCTGCATCTACTGTCAACACGGGACAAATATATAGCAACGTCTACTACAGGACAGGCTGACATGACACATTTACAGCCAGCACAGTTTGTGAACATAGGGCGAAGAGTGTATGAGTGCACCCTGTGGGGGAGAAAAAAAAAAAAACATCGCCACACTATCCGTTATAGCACACATGCTGTTCGAAAACATGTCTGATGGCACATCATTACCCTAATGACCTAATGACATCATCAGGTTTATTTTCTCAGTCATAAAAAGCTCCTCCAGAGTCACAGATGACAGGTAAGGCAAGGCAGGTTGATTTAAATAGCACATTTCAAACAAATTACAAAAGCTTTAAAAACCAGAATGAAGTCAATTAAGACAAAGATGAGATGATGTTAAAATGAAATAAAATGCGTAACAAAAAGCAAATAGACAAAGATAAAATAAGATCAAAAACAACTACAGTGCAGGTGAAAGTCGTCCTGAGGGAAACCAGCCAGTCAGAACAGCAGTTTTCAGTTTGGATTTGAACGTTAAAGAGGACAAGTATGCACACAGATTACTGAGTTTGTATCATTTGTGGACTTGTCATCTCCATGCCAGTCTCACACTATAGATCACTATGGTTTAATAGTACTGTTTCTATTTCAGCCTTGGACTGAGATATGTGGGTATCCTTTGGGTTTTGGTTGTTATCGACCCAAAGAAGCATCTAGTAGGATATCACACAAAGTGGATCGTATCATTTCCACTGTATAATGCAAGCTGCCTCATAACAGCAGCACACAGACTGCAGTGTTCTGACCAATGTCACCTGCTGTCAGTAACGCCTGTAACATGGTGGGCAAGGTTTTATTTATTTATTTATTTATTTATTTATTTATTTTTATTTAATATGGCTAATGAGCTGCTTTCCTGTGTTGTTTTGTTCACCTGTGTCCAGTTAGTGTATGCAGATTTGGTGTCAGATGAGTGATTCTCAGCAACTACACCAAGATTTCTAACTTTTGTCTTTATAGCTCTGGAATTAAGCTGATAAAGTTTAAATAGTAAACTGATCTTAATGTGTAAAAATGGTCACATGGCCCTTTGAGTTGTTGCTACAAGTTAAATTAATTTCTGGACAATTTCCATGACTTTACTGTGCTGTCTGTGATTGTTGTATAAACCCATATTAGAAAATAAGCAGAAAAAAGAAAGGTGTGTTTTAGATAAACCTTGGACCTGGTAATGAATGTCTGTCTGCTTCTAGGTGCGCTCCATCAGTCTGAATGTGAGGAAGAACGTCTCTCTGAACACACTGAGTCAGGACGTCCTACTCAAAGAGTTCTCCACTATCTCCTGAGAGACACACACACACACACAGCTTTCACATCCCTTCAGATGGACAGATACTTTCCATATACAAACACTCTCTCCAGTATAATCCTTGACCATTCCTTCCCTCAGTCTCGATTTCCTCTTCTCTGTGTCCTGTGAACTGAACAGTGGGAGCTCACAGAGACGGACACACTGAAAGACAGGATGCACCTTAAGGAAACACCTGAAAACTCACTGGACTTGCTTCCTTTGTGGTCATTTGTGTGAGTGTGATTCTTAAAGGAAGTGACTGTATTACACTGGTCTCTTGTGTGCAGTCGGTATTATTGGCTGGACTGTTACCTTAACACATGAAAGTTAAGATAGTCAGACCAAGTATTTTTAACTCATCACAACACGTGGTTCACAGTTAATCTTTCCAGTAATTATTGCAGAAGACTTTGGCTTTGAGTGAAATATCGTCTTTCATAGTCCTCTTCAATTAGAGAATTAACAGTTTCCGTGGAGCTGAATGCTTGACTATTAAGTTAATTCAGTGTTTCTTAACAAATCTGCAAGTATTTTTATTTACATTTACAAAGGGTAGAACATTTGAATGATTGGGTTGAAGAGGCTCTGAAGTGATTAAAACCTTTTTTTAAATGTTGTTGCAAACCTTTGTTTTTGAACAAAGCCATAAGTGAAGTTTACTGCTGTACAAATGATTCTGATCTGAATGTGTTGAAGTGAGCTGTTCACTTCAGATGGTGGGTAAACATTATCTAGCAGCTGGCATGTTTCTGGGACATAAAACCTGTTGAGTGAAAAAACAAGATCCATGCCTTCATCCTTCTCAACTTATCCTTGCCCTTTCTCATTCAGAATATTTGCCATGATTATTGTTTTTTGGACTGGAACCAGATCTGACTTATGCAATTTTGTCAAGTATAGGGTCTTCTTTCTTTCAGCTCTAACTCCTGTAGGTATATCATGTGGGTCCTTTCTTAAGTAAAGGTTTGTTTCTTACTAAACTGATGTGTCCTCCTTTTAATCATTTTGTCATGAAACAAAACTATATTGTAGCATCTTAAACTGTCCTCATCAGCTCAATACATATACATACACACACACACACACACACACACACCGCTCTCTGCTGACAGTGCAGATACCTCTGTCTGATACATTAGGCGTCAGTGGGAGATGATTACTTATCCCCACAAACTGCAGATGTAAAAAAATTACTTCACTGATTAATCTAGTCGTCGATAACAGATGTTTCCTTGTCCCCTTTAGATCGTGTATAAACTGCGAGTTATGAATCAGTAAGTGGAAGGTCTTGCGATTTTTACTCCTTGAATGAGTGTGATGTTTGTAGACAGAAGTCGTAACCAAACTTTTTTCCCAAGGCAAGAAAGGGTGCGGTAGACACACACACACACGGTGACGGTCTACAACGAGTGATGCTGTTTTGATTTGATTTATTCTTTCAAACATGCAGAACAAACGGCATCAACACACACATAATTATACAAATCCAACCAATGCTGATTCAGAATCAGTTTGCTTATACCTAGTACATGTTTGAATGGAGTAGGAAGAAGTCAGACTTATCCAGTCCTACCCCATAACATCATCTTATACAAAAAATTTCATGCATCATTGGCTGCAAGCAGTATCTCTGCATAGGTAATTCTCTTCTTCACCAGACAAGTAATACACAGAAAATTTAAAACAGAGTGTTTCCTTCATGCATTCTTGATTAAATCTCTTATTCTTGCATGTATCTTGAATGACACATACATTTGTATTTATATTTAAACACCTCGATTCTAGTACTGTTTTTCATGTCCACACTTAAATTATTCCATAATTTGACCCCACTTATAGAAATACAAAATCTTTTTTTGGTCGTACATATAGCATGAACTTTTAGATTCAACTGACCCCTTAAATTGTATCCCCCTTCCCTTTCATCAAATAACTTTTGGATTCCACCAGGTAATAAGTTGTTCCTGGCTTTATACATAAACACAGCAGTCTTATATCCCACTAAATCAAAGAATTTTAACAATTTAGACTGTGTGAAAACTACATTGGTGTGATCCCTATACCCCATCTTGTGCACAATTTTAATCGCTCTTTTTTGTAATATGTACAATGGTTGAAGTGAACTTTTGTAAGTGTTTCCCCAGTTTTCAACGCCATACTCCAAATACGGTAAAATCAACGTTAAAAAGAATCAATTTGTTAAAAAATCAATGTTAAAAAGTTACTTATCAGATAAGATTTATACAACAACATTAATCCTGCATCAGTTTATTTTTTGGCCACATGGGCACAGAACCACGCTATCACCTTATGAAGTAGCTTTGGCAAACATTTTAGCAAAAAGGTTGTTATTTACACTTCTAGCCTGTACAGAACACTGTTGGCTTTCATACGGAGTCATGCCCAATAATCGTCTGTTTGTTTTAGTCTCCACCAACTCCTGAGGAAGTAACTGGCTCTTTAGCTGCCAAATACTCCACTGGGGAAGTAGCGCACAGGCTTTATCTGAGCTTTTACATGAGAAACAACACCAGGCCTGCTGTGTGTTGTTCAAGTCTAGGAAAAGCTTACAGTCAGGTCCATAAATATTGGGACATCGACACAAATCTAACATTTTTGGCTCTATACACCACCACAATGGATTTGAAATTAAACAAACAAGATGCGCTTTAACTGCAGACTGTCTGCTTTAATTTGAGGGTATTTACATCCAAATCAGGTGAACGGTGTAGGAATTACAACAGTTTGCATATGTGCCTCCCACTTGTTAAGGGACCAAAACTAATGGGACAGAATAATAATCATAAATCAAACTTTCTCTTTTTAATACTTGGTTGCAAATCCTTTGCAGTCAATTACAGCCTGAAGTCTGGAATGCATAGACATCACCAGACGCTGGGTTTCATCCCTGGTGATGCTCTGCCAGGCCTCTACTGCAACTGTCTTCAGTTCCTGCTTGTTCTTGGGGCATTTTCCCTTCAGTTTTGTCTTCAGCAAGTGAAATGCATGCTCAATCGGATTCAGGTCAGGTGATTGACTTGGCCATTGCATAACATTCCACTTCTTTCCCTTAAAAAACTCTTTGGTTGCTTTTGCAGTATGCTTTGGGTCACTGTCCATCTGCACTGTGAAGCGCCGTCCAATGAGTTCTGAAGCATTTGGCTGAATATGAGCAGATAATATTGCCCGAAACACTTCAGAATTCATCCTGCTGCTTTTGTCAGCAGTCACATCATCAATAAATACAAGAGAACCAGTTCCATTGGCAGCCATACATGCCCACGCCATGACACTACCACCACCATGCTTCACTGATGACGTGGTATGCTTAGGATCATGAGCAGTTCCTTTCCTTCTCCATACTCTTCTCTTCCCATCACTCTGGTACAAGTTGATCTTGGTCTCATCTGTCCATAGGATGTTGTTCCAGAACTGTGAAGGCTTTTTTAGATGTCGTTTGGCAAACTCTAATCTGGCCTTCCTGTTTTTGGGGCTCACCAATGGTTTACATCTTGCGGTGAACCCTCTGTATTCACTCTGGTGAAGTCTTCTCTTGATTGTTGACTTTGACACACATACACCTACCTCCTGGAGAGTGTTCTTGATCTGGCCAACTGTTGTGAAGGGTGTTTTCTTCACCAGGGAAAGAATTCTTCGGTCATCCACCACAGTTGTTTTCCCTGGTCTTCCGGGTCTTTTGGTGTTGCTGAGCTCACCGGTGCGTTCCTTCTTTTTAAGAATGTTCCAAACAGTTGTTTTGGCCACGTCTAATGTTTTTGCTATCTCTCTGATGGGTTTGTTTTGTTTTTTCAGCCTAATGATGGCTTGCTTCACTGATAGTGACAGCTCTTTGGATCTCATCTTGAGAGTTGACAGCAACAGATTCCAAATGCAAATAGCACACTTGAAATGAACTCTGGACCTTTTATCTGCTCATTGTAATTGGGATGAGGGAATAACACACACCTGGCCATGGAACAGCTGAGAAGCCAATTGTCCCATTAGTTTTGGTCCCTTAACAAGTGGGAGGCACATATGCAAACTGTTGTAATTCCTACACCGTTCACCTGATTTGGATGTAAATACCCTCAAATTAAAGCAGACAGTCTGCAGTTAAAGCGCATCTTGTTTGTTTAATTTCAAATCCATTGTGGTGGTGTATAGAGCCAAAAATGTTAGATTTGTGTCGATGTCCCAATATTTATGGACCTGACTGTATATGTGACTCACAAAAGCTATATAAAGTTTTCACAATGATGTGTTTGACAAATTGTGAGTTTGATGCTACTCTGTGTGTGACCCCTTTCACATTACACACAGATCCCTGTTTATGGCATCTTTAAAAATATTTACACACCAATTGGTGGCAATCTGGTCAGCAGGTTAAATAGCACATCTGTGTTTTTGCATTAAAAAGGTTTTAAGAATACATAAACTGTTCATGTTCTGTGGCAAGAAAAAGTATGTGAGCGCTGAAATGGCCAAGGTTGTCAAATGTGATCTGACCATCATCTAAGTCATAGGTGCAGACAGACACGATGTTCTTAGCTAATAATATGCAAACAATTATAATCCTGTGTGTCTTTATTGAGCAGGTCTGCGCTCTGATCGGCCACAGCAAAAGGATTTTCTTAGTTTGAAGTCATTCTGTCCCAAACCATGACACTTGCTCCACCCTATTCACCCTTGGAATTACATTTTCATGCTCGTGTGCAGTGCACCTGTTACACCATATGTAGCGCTCTATGTTCTTCTCAAACAGTTGAACAGGTGCCACTTTCTAGGGAGGCTCAAGGCTACACTTGCTGCTGCTGGCATAATGCACCCAAATATTCCCATGAGCTATCTGCAGTAAAGTTGCACAGTAGGCATCAGGTTCTGAAAGGAGGATGAGTGGGAAAAGATAGTATCTCTGCTTCTGCAGCATTGATTTTGATCCTCTTCCGCTGCCTGCTGTGACATTATAGCCATACAGACACTAAATCAGTGCAGTACTCATGTTTAAGCTTGACTGAACTGCTGGTCAATCTAATCAATCAAAAGAATTGGTGAATATCAGAGGAACTGCAGAATTAAATTGTGAGTGAATCAGAAAGCTCAAAATCTCAATTAGTTCTTTCTAGTGGAAGCTAAAATAGCAATTAATCATAAATTCACAACAGTTAAGGGAGTTAAAGTTACTACTTGAGTGTGATGGTGACACCAGTGCTCTGCTGTTCCAGTCTGACTAGCAGAGATTTTTTTCTATGAGGTGTTGGTTCAGAGTTGACAGATAGGACGGGCAAGCTGATGTGTTTCCCTGCCGAGACACCTCCATTTGGTCTGGTTCCAACTGAGTGAGAATACAAATGTCTTGTAGTAAAACTTGACTGTTCAGTCGTTGACCCTCAGGCCCCAAACCCTTTTCAAAGAGCCTTCTCCTCACGTCAGTAACAACTACCTGCTCATCCATTTGCTGATGATGCCATACCACATGCTGAGCCACCTGTCGGTTCCTTTAATGCACCAGTGGGGCCGTTAACATTAATGATAACCTCACTTTATCTCCCTTTTCTCTCTCTTTGTGCTTTTGCCTTTTTCTGTCTCTCTCACACGTAATTAAATAGATAATGCCACTGATGGCTGCTAATGGACATGCAAGCCTCATGTTAGTGCTGTTCCACAGATGATAATGTGCTTTTGTACAGACTAGGAACAAGGCTGTGGCAGGGAATGTAGAGTGTGAATGTCTGTATTGGTTTTCATGTGTTACAAAAACAGTGTGAGCAGAAGAGTGTGGATGGATTTTGGAGATCACTTGGTGTGATGGCTTTCTGTTATAGTAGAGTTGAACCCCCTGACGTCAATCTAGTCCAAGTTCTCAGATTTTCTGGGCAATATGTTTATATTGTGCGGGCAGCATATTAACTGATATAATCTTTGTGGTGTGTGTTCCTGTGTGTGAGCTGATGACAGAGCCAGGCCCGGGCGTTTTACTGTGACAAGCCATTAATGTTGCTGGGTATTTAAAATGTTTCTATTAAGTATTTCAGCTTTCTCATGAAATATTCATTTGATGGGAGATTGCCTATTTTGTCTCAGCTGCACCTCCCCCTTCACCTCTTCATTTCTTTATCTGTGCATCTGCAGAAGACTAATTCAAAAACTAAATCAACTCGAACTGTTTCTTTCCAAGAATGCATGTAAGGAGAGACGCATCCCCTGAGGACATACGATACTATTTTTATGTCTTTCAATGACTATTATCATGTGACCAGCCTGTGCCTGCTCACCTGTCTGTGTATACTGTACCTGTTATGGTGTTTGTCATCTGTATCATTGCCCCACACTGTGCTGAACTTCAGGCATCAGTCATAACTCATTATTGGTTATCTGTCAGCTCCACTTTCCAGCCTGCAGCAAAAAAAAAATCTTTCTGTAAACCCTGGGGGAGATAAACACCATCAATACTGTAAGATTTAACTCTTCCACTGCACATAATATATTTAAATACCTCTCCACTGTGGTCCCTCTGTGTCATCTGTTCTATGATATGCCACCATCCCTCTCTTGGATGGATATATATATATGTGTGTGTGTGTAAACTTCTCCTGACCCTTCTGACAGTGGACAATCCTTCAATCATCTGCCTGTCTTTAAAGAAAACTCACTGCCACTCAGTTTATCCCTAACAAGCATGACTTAAAGTTTTTTTCTCCAGTCACATCTTTCTGTGTGACACAGTTTAATCTAAAGGACACACACACAGCTTATTGTTGACTTAATTTTTCATCCTGGGTTGTAGGTATAGAGGGCATTTTTCACACTTAATTCAATAATAATGCATTTTGAAAGAGTTAAACAACAAAGGAGGAAAAACTTGAGAGGGGTTAAAGGGGAACTCCACTGACTTTCTGTGTCAAAATCTATTTACTAACTATAGACAATAATACGTAACCTGTGACAACAGTTGTATGATGTCTGTGGAGGAGCTTTGTCAAGTCTGAAAACATTTCCACATGACATGACACATGACAACAGCACGTTTTTCTGTTGTGGTGTTTATCTGATCCAGATATTCATGTCACCCTGTCATAACTTTGGTGATGCCTTAATTTTGCGTCAAATGCCATCATCAAGTCAAAATGTCAATTTGTCTAAAATGTTTTATGGTTAAACACCATAAGACATTCCCATCAGCCTCACCTGTATTTTGAGTTCAGTACTAATTGGCTAATGTTAGCATGCTAGCACACTAAACCAAGAAGATAAACATGGCTGACATTCCACCTGTTGGACATCACCATGGCAGCATGAGCGCACGCTGCAAGTCTCAGCTTTATGGAAGTGTAGTACTAAATTGCTGGTGTGCCTCCAGTATTCAGGTTATTTCACCTTGTAGTTCATGTGGGTTATTTATTTAACTGAAAACCCCTTTTTTGCCAAGAAAGTTTTGAACTTGAGGAAGAAAGGTGGTTTGATGGTTACACAACCAAAAAAGCTCTTAGAAGACACTGTTATGTAAAGACATTCAAAAGTAGTTTAGGCCTGATGACCCCTGTTAAATTTAGTTCAAAACTGTTTGCAACCTTCATACCTCTGTCCAAAAGAATTATTCATCACAAAAAGTTGAAGTAGGCCACTGATTCTCAAATGTACTCAAATAAAAAGTTAAACGTAGGCTGGATGAAAAAGCTGAGCAGTTACAGCTTTATTTTTCCCCCTGACCATGTCCCATACCTGTCACGTTTGATTGTTTAAACCAGAGGCTTCTGATGGGAAACAAACCCGCTGAACCCAATAAGTTTATCCCTTAAAACAGCC